CTGCGCGTCTAGGGTGACTAGCGCTAGTCGCACTACTCCGCTACTGCTGCCCGGCTGCTAACTTACACGGTGCGCGGTTAAGTACAAAGGGAACTACTGGAGTTAGCAAAGGCTCCGACCGAGCGCGCTCTAACTCCAATGTCTGCCCTGGGCTGTCCCAGGCAAGAAGCTTCTCTTCACAAGACTGTGTAGCTGCAAAACAAATGTAAGCATTAAAATAATAAACAAACAGAAACCAGAAAGCAAAATAAAAACCAACAAAGAAGTACAGACACACACAGCCCCAACCCCGGTCAGCACACGAAGACATCCACGTCCCAGCAACCTCTACCCGCTCCCCTGCCGCTGTCACGCACACGTCAGCCGGGCTGGACGCGGCTCAGAGGGGACCACCCTGGCACCGGTGCAGAAGACCCCTCAGAGCACAGCAGGAACCGCACTAATGCTGCTGGAGGTGGTTTGACGGTGACCTAAAACGCTGGTCAGGGTCGTGACAGAGCAGCGCGAGGGCAAGTATGAGATGCGAATGAAAGGGAAAGAAAGTAGGGCATCCAAATCACTGCAAATCTCAACTCTGAGGGGCACAGGGTAGGAGAACGCTATCCCGCTTGGCAGAGAAGGGATTTGGCTCTCCTCAGTGTACCAGGCAGGGTCTTGCTATGAGCAAGAGGAAGGAGTTAAGCAAGCAGTGATGGACAGTTCACAGCAAAAAGGACTTCAGAAGAGATCATTTCCCTTCCGTTCTGGCTGGGCAAAACACCTTTCCTACTGCACCTCCTGAACCAGCAGTTTGACATTCTTAGAGCTACTTCAAAAATAAGCAACAGAGAGGCTCCGACTGCTGCATCGTATGAGATACTGGTGCTGTGTGCAGGAAACCAGGGAAGGAAGACAGGAGGAGACAAGAAGAGGGCATGCCTGTTCCTTCCTTCCCAGGCTGACCTCAACAGAATCAAATACTCCAGGCGTTCCCAACTCACATTAAGGATCCTTCCATTATAGCTTTAAACCATCAGGCAGCTAGTATGGTATGTCTGTGCAGGGGAAAGGCTGGGAAACCCACCTAGATATTCTCCAACCTACTCGCTTTTTTCATATCCATTGTCAGAGTTTTTCAGCCACAGGCTCCTCTACGGAGGCAGTCAGTTCGGGAGAGATCAGGCAGATGGTACCGTAACTGGCAGACCACGGTACCAGCTCGCTGAGCTAGCAAGACAGACATGCAAGGTAAAGCTCACAACAGAGAGATGCCCCTCAGAGCCAACATTACCCAAGGATTTTCACTCAGAGCACCTGACAACGGATTCAGAAATGCTGAGGGGTCTTCCAGCAGCCACAGCCTCCCTTCCAAAGCATCCTTGAAGCAGTCTGTAAAAACCTGGTTTTCGTTCCTTTTGTACTTCCCGAGCACCATCCATGTCTGGGGTGCTCAGAAGTTCTTGACCAGCAAGACTGAATTCAGCCTCACGCAGCCCCTCCATAAGCAGACCTGCACCACTGACCCCATTTACCACAAGGAAAACTAAGAGATGCAGTGACTTGCCCGAGGAAACCCCGAAAGGCAGCGTCTCTGCAGAGAACTCCACGTCTCACCCAGATGAAAGCAAGGGAATGCAATTAGCTAGAATGAGGTTCTGGGGTTTTTTTCCAAAAAGGGAGGAAAGGTTTGGAAATTTTCAGTGTGCAAAGGAGGGTATTTTGCAGGAAGGGAGATGATTTCTTTTTGTTCTGGAGTACTGGAAATGAAAAATCAACATTCTGGAAGGAAGTTGAGGAAAGGAAAAATCTTGGGGAAGGAGAAATGGGAAAGGTGGAGGGAGGGGTGGGAAAAAGATGCTGTGAAGCACTGCACCCCTGGACTTACTGGCTGAGAAACAGAGAGAAAGCTGGGACTGCATGGACTCAGTCTGTGTTTTGCTCTCACTGTGCCTCCGTCCTTCAAGCACTGAGCTGCCGTCCCCGGTGGAGAGAGGGGGAGCTAGCATGGCAGGGAATTAAAACACAAACACAAACAAAACACGCAAGTTCAGTAAATAAAAAAAGAGAAAGGAAACAGGAGAACATTAAAGAAACCACAATGCTGGGCACAAAACATGCAGGAGTATCCTCCAGGGCAAAGCCAAGTAGACAGCTCTACAACATGGACTTGCTGTGCAATTTAGAATGACACAGAGGCGGGGGGCACTGCCTTTAGTCCCACCACAGTGGAAACAACATATCCCTGAGGCAACTGTCACGGATGGATCAAGACAATGTCTCCTACACCACAGCAGAACAGATCTGTGTAACCTGTTGTCCACTGAAAATAAAAAGTTGGCAGAGGAATTGCACAAGCACTTCCCTTTTCCCAGTCGTGGCTACGCAGAATGCTGAGAACTCCAACGTCCCCAAACCTTTTGGTCTATTTAGTTTTGCTTGAGTGCCTGCTTAGCTTAAAACATGGAGGGGCAGGAGTTGAAAAGGAACACTGGTGAACACTGCTACACTTAAAACTGAAGCACTAAAATGACCAGAGCTGGAGATAGCACAAACCATTACTGTGCAAGCTCCTTCCCACCCAACCACCATTCAAATGCTCCCTTCTATTAGAATCGTAACAAAATATTCTAACCTCTGCCAAAAAAAAAAACAAAACCCACAACCTCAAACCCCTCAGTTTTGATCTGCAGCAATGTAGCCCTATACAATTCTTCATAGATTTAGCCCTGGCCAGCTGCCCTCCTTCCCCCCCACCTTCTGTTCCAGTCCTAGCCTTCCTCTCCTCATAGCATTTGTATTCCTGACTTACAGGACCCGCTGGCTCAAGTGGCTCAAGTCTAGGACCTCTCCTGAACAAAAGCTGCCAAAGGAGACAGGATTCTGGACAAGTACCTGTTCTGGACGGATATCCAGTGGAGATTAGACAAATCAACCTCATTACCATGCTACCAAAACCATCCAGTTCCCTTCCCTTAAAGCTAGGTTCTTAAACCACGGATTACTCTTTGGCAAAGAGGTGGGAGCTAGAACACTGTCCTGTAATGAGGTCACGTCTTATCTGAAACAATCTGTATTGCAGAGCTCATTCACTCACTGGCATGCGTTTCTGCTCCCTGTGACTCCTCAGAAGAGGAGCCAGCAGCTCATGATAAGCCACAGGAAAAGCATCAGGAACTAGCCCAGCTGGCAGAGGTGACATTGCTGCTACACCACAGAGTCAGCATTGATTTTTCCCTAGGTATGTAACTCGGATTGACTACCGGGAGAATGAGAATACCTCTACCTCAAAATGCAAACTATTAACACATTCGCCTTAGAATGCAAACTGCATTCACCCATCCTGAACCTGCTCATTCAGGAAAATGTCTGCTTGTCCTTCTTTAGGGAGGTCAGGAAAAGGACAGCTGCTCAAACAACATGAGCAGCTCAGAGCTCCTTCAGCTAAAGAGTTTTACAAGCACAGAATATTTATGATACGGTCACTGAAAGGTGTGAAGTCTCTCCTCAGCCTCTCCCTCTACTGATATCTCAGTCAATGACATGAAAAAATCATTTCCATTCAGAGACGACAGGCTGAGAATGATCTTCATCTTAGAAACAAAAATAGAGCCAAAGAGAAAAAAAATAAATGGGGAAGTGTGTGAATGTCACTAAAGAGATGCCCAGAAAGGGGTGAGAAGGGAGACTCAGCAGTAACAGAGAGGTTTAAACTCCCTGTAACCTACATGAAAACACAACCAGACTCCAAACCTCAAGGGACTGGTAGGGAGTTTCCAAGCCTAGAAATGGACTGGAGATGAACAGATTATGATATTTGCAAGAAAAAAAATTTCAACTCTGAGGCAAAAACAAATTAGCTCAGGGCAAACTGCTTATATACCACAGAGGCCAAGTCAGCAGGTTCCCCAGCGCATGGTCCCACTGTGACAGGAATGACAGCATCATGGTGAATTTATGAACCGAGGCAGACACAGAAATCTGGGAAGCTAGTTCAAGGCAATGATTGAATCTCCAGGATCCCCCGCCTGCACTTAACTGTATTAGAAATTACAGACAAAACACCTACCTTTCAGATCCTCATCTTCGGTCGTGGTGTTACAGCTCTCTGTGGAACCCTGCATGGCAGAACAGAGCATTACCAGGCATCAGCAGTCAGGAGCATAAGTAAATAGCTTGATTTGTTTGTGAAGGAAGATGGGGAAAACCACAAAAACATTGGCAGGGATGGCAGGGACAGGATGACACAAGGAAGACTTGGATGGAAGCAGGCCAAATATTAAGCAAAACTTAACAGCACCTCTGCTCAGCTTTTGTGTGTTTAAGCCGTTCAAGCCATCCACCCAGAACTTTTACATGGACAGAAGTTACCAAACTCTGTCAAATGAGATCAAATGGGAGATGCTTCTGTTTGGAAGAAGAACAGCCACAAGAAGCTAAAGAAGGGCTCCTAGGCTTTCTCAGAGGAACAGGTCTCCACTTCCAGAAGAAAAAAAAAAAAGTGTGTAAGTGCCTGTATCTTCTCTTCCACCCCACATACGAAAGAGAGTGGTGACCACACACCGCAGTAGGAAAGAGATCATAATACTTGAACAGTTGTCCCTACTCAGCCTCTTCCAGAGATCCACAGCCATACAACACAACCCTCCCAGTCTACTGCCAGCAGTATTCAGGAGCATGCTACAATCCAGATGTTGGAAAGGTAGAAACCTAAGACACACGAAGACAAGAACGACAAGAGAGAAGTGGAGGTTTCTCTGGCAACACTCCCAATCCCTTACCTTTATGCCATCTGTAGCATTATGGACAACAGTTGTTTGAGGCTCCTAGGAAAGGATGGAAGAATCATTAAACTCCAGTTCCAAAGAATTCTCCCATTTTTCACTCCCCAGCAAGTGGAGAAAAGGTGACTGACATTGAAAAAAACCAAAACCAAACCACAAACTCCAAACAGCACACGTGTGCTTGCGTGCGCGCGCACACACTTCCTGCACAGAAGGTTTCCTGAAAAGAGAGGCTGCACTAAAAGCTACAGTTGCAAGGAGACAAAGCCCCCAGCTTCCCTGCAATTGCCCCCGATTCCCAACTTGCCTCCAGTGAACCAGGCTGGCACAAATGCCAGATGGCAACTGAGCAGCGAGGCTGCACCCTCTGCAGCCATTCATGAAGTAATGGCCCCTCAGCAGCATCCTCACTGGTAAAAGCTTCAGAAGAGGGAAGAGGGGGAGGAAAGGGTAATACTGGGCTGGGGCCTTTGTCTCCCATTTTTTTTTGAAAGTTTGCCAGGTATTTTACCCTAAAAAAGGGACATTCATAATTTCCATAAGAAGGGGGTAAGCCAGACCACCTCAATGCCTCTCAAAGAGGAGATGCTTAGGGAACTGGGCTGTGAAAAAAGGCACGTTTTTCTAGAAGTCTCTAAAATGAGATCCAATTTCGATAGTAACAACAATAATTAATAATTTAGAAAGGCTCCCTCAGTACCAAAACCATAATGAACAAAGCCAGTGAAGGGAAAGCAGGAAATTATGAAGTGTCCCCAAAACCCTTTGCCCTACAGCAAACAACAAAAACATCAAATCCCACCCTCCCACCCCCCCCAAAAATGCCAAATCCAACTCTCCAGAGACACACAACAAAGAGCAGCTACCAGGCCTACGGGTGCTAACTAGCTCCTGCGCTCATCCCTTCATTACCGGGACAAGACTTCGGGTTCCTGCACCATCTCCTCCCGCTGCTGTCGCTCTTGCAGGGTGGCTCAGGGAGGGCACCGGGGCCTGTGATGGTGCAGTGATATACACTCACCCATCCGCCTCTGTCACCCACTGCGCTGCCGCCTGATCTTCCAAGCACACTGAGGCAGACCACACCAAGCTGTGCCGTTAAACGTACTAGGCACAGGGCACCCTATGAAGCCCGCTGCACACAGCCCAAACAGAAAATGCTAGCCCAGCAAGTCAGCAAGCTGCAGAGGATCAACCGGACAACCGAGCAGGCCAAATGGGCCATCAAAGGATTCCTCTAAAACCCCTTTGCCTGCCCTTTCTTCTGTGGTGTCCTGAAGTCCATCCTCCATTTCCTGGGTGTTGGAGAGTGGATGGAGCTTGCCACTCTCTTCTTCCAAACCAGCCTCCCCAAAGCCAGCAGGAACAGTTAACGGGACACACAGAACTATACAGGGATGGCACAAGGGGAAGTCCAGGCAAGCTGCGATCCCCACATCCAACCACAGCTCTGCTCAGCACCCCCACCCCGAAGCCTGTGAGGCTGTGATCAGGCCCCACAGCAGCACAGGGACACAGACAGAACAAAGCCAAAACACAAGCTGAAACAGAGCAGCACAAGCAGCACTCGGGATGGGGGGGAAGGAGAGAAGGGGAGAGGACAGAATCAAAATTAAACCAAACAGGAGAAAAAATAGCGGTTGGGGAAGATACCATGGACGTCTGCACTGGGGGTGTTTCTTTTGCAGTGCTTACTATACTGGTTTTGTTGTTGCTCTGTGGCTGAGACAGAAAAACATGGTTTTAGTTCCCCTGCTGGGCAGCAGAGGCAGCAAGAAAATGACAGTTTTGCTCCAATCCCAACCATCTCCTCAGACCCTCCCCTCCCCACAGGCTCGATCACCAAGAAGAGGGAGGAAGAAGGAGTGCTGCCCAGGTCGATGGACATCATCCTTCCCTCAGAAGCAAGATATTGTAAGGATGTACCAAAACCCAAATGCGCATGGACTGCTAGAGCTATAAGGAAGGAAAACAGAAGGGAAAAAGGCAGCAGCCCAAAGGGATGGGGAGAATCCTGCAATGAGCACCAACAAAAGTATTTGGTGAAGAAGAATGAGAGATGGCAGCAGTCCCAAGAGAAAGAGACTACAGAAGCGAGAGACACACAGTAGTCACGGTGCAGTCTCAAACAGGGGACAAATGGGAGTCGTGTCTGAGGAGTCCCAAAGTGTGCAGAAACGGTCCTAGATGTGTGATGATGCTGAGGGTCCCAGGAAATCTACTGATGCAACAAAAAGCGTGGTCAGCCCTAGCAAAGGTCGAGAAGAGGTAAGGTATGGTGTGCTGTGTCCCCGCTGTGACCTGAATAAAGAGACTTTAGGACCAAAATATGGAAAGGAATGAGGGTGGGATGCAAGGAAAAGGCCACGTAGTTCCCCAAGTAGCAAGTCCTCTGGATGGTGCCCAGTAGTTTTTCATCTTTCCCCTCTTCAGTCTCTCTCGTAGCTGTGGTAGAAGAATAAAATCTCCATTTCCTGCGTTCACATAGCACAACAGTGAGACAGTCACCAGCTTGCTGCAAAGAAACATCCCATTGAGTCATGTTATGTCAGTTATGTCAGGAATGAGCAAAGTCTATGTTCGTAGGAAGACAAACCTGTGTCCACTAGTATATAGTTCCTAGCCCACAAATCCAGTCAGTTGTTGGAGAATTAGGCCCCCAGTTACACTGCCGTGTAACGCCCACACCAGGTATATAGCTCTCTTGCTGCCAGACACCAGCAGCAATGTCAAAATCAGCACTGCAGGAGCTTCACTCGGACTCCTTGGTTTACAGACGAGGGGTACTGGATGGCAGCTCACAGCCACGTGACTTCATTGCAGCTGCCCTCCATGCCACTGTTCCTGGGGAGTGCAGACTCATACTGCAAAACACCAGGCCCTCATCACCCAGTAACCGCTACAAAGAATGCAGAAGTCAAACGCTGAGCTGAAAAACATCTGCCAAAGGTTTAATTACGTCAACCAGAGACAGATCCTATGAGGTTGAGACTTCACACACACACCTACTAATACTTCAGTTTTTCTTCACAAGCAGCATGCCTTGGCTTAGCTATCCCTTTTGGAGAGGGAGAGAGGAGAAACAGAAGAGGAAGATGGGGCAGGTGGAGAGGGGAGGAAGTAGGAGAGAGAGGCAAGAGTGCATTCTTTAAAAGCCCACGGGGGGAATAAGAGCATGACACACTCATCCCCCAAGCTAAGCAAGGAGAAACACTTCACAAATTACTGTTTACTGCCTCTTCCTATATATCCCTGCATTGTCTTAAGACTTTGCCTTTCCAAGAGCTTTGCTTCCTGCATGTATTTCCAGCCTGATGGCAGAAGAGATGACAGCCACTGTGGATGTAAGAAAGGAGCAGATCAACCTGAAAAAATGAATCCCAAGCTATTTTGTGGCATAAAACCAACCAAACTTCTGGCAATGCCTGCGTCCACCCCTCCACACAGCACTGAGGTTCCTGTATTTCTTCAGAAACTGCGATCCTAATGCAGAGATCTATCTTCCAAACCTCTTCCAGTGAGAGGAGCACAGCCCATTTTTCTTAGTCCACTGGGATAAGAAGATAAAGTTAGCATGAAAGAAGCTATACAAAAATACTTCTGATTTTTTGGAAGGCTTTATAACTGAGGCCAAATGGGAAGAAACCCCCCAACGTTCCTGTATTTCTTCAGAAACTGCGATCCTAATGCAGAGATCTATCTTCCAAACCTCTTCCAGTGAGAGGAGCACAGCCCATTTTTCTTAGTCCACTGGGATAAGAAGATAAAGTTAGCATGAAAGAAGCTATACAAAAATACTTCTGATTTTTTGGAAGGCTTTATAACTGAGGCCAAATGGGAAGAAAACCCCCAAACCATCCAGTAAGCCAGCGTTCTGAAAAAAAGCTGACAGTAGCTTGTTAGGTGTGGGATGTCACCCACGCCCACCCAAAGCACATAGCCTACCCTCCTGGCTGCACTAACACCCAGTTCATCCATCATACTCTTCCCCATCCAGTGGGCTGACGAAGACCAAGTATCATCTTTGCTAGTCCAGAATCACTTAGCATTTTGCTCCAGGACAGAGTCCCAAGGAAATAAGAGGCAGAAGACTTAGCCTAAGCAGTTTTCACAGCTCTTTCTCAGACAGAAGTATCTCACATACGGAGCTTCTTACACGCACTCATGTCTTATGGCCACCTAACCAACTGCCCTTCCCTGGAAAAGACTGGCCTGCCCTTCCCAGAGCCCCAGGTACCACAGCCAACTCTTACCCCTCCTTCTGCCAGCCAACATCACAGTCACTGGGCAGGCTACGATCCTGGGTAATTCACAGCGGTACACATCAAGTTAAAAAGAGGCCAATTCACCTAAAAAGGTGCCAGGCCCTTCTTAAGATCTGTGTAACACAATTAGTTTTGGCACAGCAGTTGGCAGCGCTTCCTGAGCTAGACAAGAGACAGACAGACAGGCACAAACAACACAGAGGGTGCAAAGAGAAAGAAAACAGACCAGTGATCATATCGCTAGGGACACGTATTTCTAGCCAACTAAAAGAAAATAAGTACCAACACATGGGCCGTCTCTGGTTATTTAGCCACCTTCGCTGCTTCCATGTTTTCTGAGGCCGACACTTAACACAGTTTACATATCCCAGCTGCTTTAAAACAACATGCAGAGGGAATTTAAGTATTGCTGGCAGTGGGCAGAAAGGAAGGGCAAGAAAGGCACAACAAACTCCTGCCCTGGAGTTTCATAAAGGCAGGGCTGGTGAAAAGTCAGTCCCTTGCATCAGATTTTCCAAGCACTACTTTGGGATTACTTTTTTGTGTTTACATAGTTTTAAGCTGTCATTGAAGGAGGAAAAGGAGAAATATCTTCCAGATAGTAACATAGAAACAAATTATTCTGCTTTCTCAGTACTATCACATTCCTGTTCCTACCTGCAATAGGGGAGAAATATTTTCTGTCCTTCTCCTGTGTAAAGGAGATAATGCAATAACTAATTTTTATACTTTAGTTATTGTTCATACCTCAGTATCAGAGACGAAGGCATCATCTAATGGTCTGTGTATGACTCCTTACAATATGGCACTGGCCAATTTTCCTTTTGCTCCCTTGAGAGTGGATTTGACTACTTTTCTGACAAATTCTATGGATGTCAAACATCTGGATGGATGAAAAAAGGAAATGAACAGGACAGGGGAGGCAGTTACTGGGTATTTGGTCATGCTGGGACACATAAACGAGATCAGGACAAAAGGAAGTTTTGGATTATAAAGGCTCTGACAAACCTTTTCAGTAAGTATGCTAAAAAAAGAAGTGACCGGCAGCTCTGAGCTGCCTGGCGGTGCTGTGCCCACACATTTCATCTGAACAGTGGAGCCCCATCAGTCTCTGCCACATTTGGAGCGACTCCCAGTTTGTTCTACACTGCAGGGCTCCCACCAAGGATGACGGCACCAACACCAGGCAAAGCACCTGCTCCTCTTTTTGGCACCTCTGCAACAGAATGACAAAGCCCCATGTCCAGGCAAGGCACACACCTGCTCTGCTGAGCCCAGGAGAACCACTGCCTTTTTTCGTTTCACACTCAGAGCAGGCAAGATCAAACTGCATTGCCAGCAGTTGATTTTCTGCACAAAATGGGAAGTGTACAACTGGCCGGAGGCCAGACGGTCACAGGGCCCTTTTAGTGAGGACATGGACCTTTCAGTGCACAATGATCCCCCCCGCCACCGCCCCCCTGCACAGACATGCTATGTAGGGTGATGAGCACAAGCCGAGCGTGCATGGCATGAGAATGGCGGACGCACGAATCGCAGGCAGCTTACGGGAGGTGCTCACCATCAAATGCACACTGGAGCTCGACTTCCTTTTCTGGACACACCATTGAGAGATGGAAAGAGAAGGGAAGAGAGGAGATGAGAAGAAAAGCACAGAAACTATTCACACATTAGTGTGCCAGCAAGGGCCCCCCTGCCAATAATGCTCCCCTAGGGGCAGGTATAAGCAGCAGCAGAAATGCACGGACTCGCGAGAAGGCGCAGAGAGGTCACCATTAAAGAACACGACTACACACCAGGGGAAAGAGCAAGGCTGAAGACCCCCATCCACTCAAACATTGAGGTCAGAGCATAGGTGCCAACACACTGATATAAGGAGAGAAGAGGGAGGAGTACATATGGACAAGATGTGGGATGCAAGGGGGTGCCTCTATGTGCTCTCCCACCTTCTTCCGTGCATAGCATGGGGAGAAGAAAAGCTCCCTCACACAGAAATTGGGGCTGATTTGAAAGGCAAGGTGCACCCATGTTCAGACATAGAGGAAACGCAAAGAAGGCAAAGAGGCACTCAACAGCAAGAACACCTTGCGCTCTCAGATACTGGGAGAAAAACAAACAGGGAGCACTGCTCAAAACACTACCCAGCCTTCTTGGACTCTACTCTTGTTCAAAGGTATCTTCAGTCATCTTCAGACAACTTCACACTGAACTGCACTCCCCAGTGAGCTAGGCTCAGCATGCATTTTTCTGCTCTTTCACCACACTCTTACTGTCATCCTATCCAAGCAGAGCCTGGCAGGTCTTTCAGCATTACAATGCTACCCCTTTCTCCTGCTGTCTCCACATACATTTTCCATCTGCCCTTCTCCTTTGGTACTGTCTAGACTACTTCTCTGCTGCTTACTACTCATGTGGAGGTACTACCGAGTCGAGCTTATGCAGTACTGTAGGACAGCATGTCCCAGCCAAAACCCACAATGTCATGGGGCTCACCTACGTAGCTCTGGACTCCTGCATGCTACCACAGCCCACCTCTGGACCAGCCTTTCCACTCACTACAGGCTGTGGAGTTGTGCCTCCCCATTTCATACACTTACTGAGCCTTCACAGCTTTCACCTTGAATACTGTCTTCGTCCCTGCTATCCTCACATCAGAGCTCAAGCACACATTACAGACTGGCACGTCTTTGAGAGCAGAAGTGCCTGTGTTCACCTCATACCCAGAGCCATATTCCTAATCACACCATACAGCCCAGAATCACACAGCCACTGCACGAACAGACTCAAACTAGCAAAGCTTCTGCCTCATCTGATCTTTAATTCCAGTACGGACAGACTCTGAACACTGATCAGTTCAGCATTTGGCTCACCAATCTTCCATTTCATGTAAGCATAACACAAAGCTTGCCATTACCTGTTTTACAAACTTGTGATGCCTCTCATCTTCTTTTAGTACAATTTAGCTTCTCCACAGGCTTTTCCTCAAGCTAGAGCTGAAATAGGATGTACTACCAGTGCATGAATGAAATGCTTAGACCACCACCAACCCAGAGGAATCCTTGTACCCAGTCACAACAAGGAATTTTTAACTGGGAGAAGTGGAAATTCACAGCAGCTGAGAAACTGCTCCAAAACTTCAGTTTCTATTTTTAATGTATGCTATAAGTTGCAGCAGACAAACAGAGGCTATATTGATACTGCAGGAAAACCTCTCTCTAAGGAAGACAGTCTCATTTGAAGTGTATATAGATTTCCAATGAGTTACAGAAACAAAAAAAGGGGCAGAAAGTGTTAAGAGACAAGGAAAAGGTTCAATATGAAAGGAGAGTCAACCAAGCCATATAGAAAACAATCACCCTCCTATATTAGAGGCACAAGTAACACTGACACAGGAGGAAACAGAAGCCTCTACAGATCAGAATTTAATTAGAGTACAATCTACATTTAAAACAGTACTGGTCTATTAACATGACATGATGTATTGTAGAAATCCCAGAAAGCACATTATTACCGGCTACTATAATAACAGGGGGGAGAAAAGCTAGCTAGGCAGTATGAAAAGGGTAGGGAGTGAGGTCTGTTAAGACCAGAGCATGAAAGTACTATTACAACTCAAGACAGGTTGGATAACGCCAACATGAGGCACCAGTAGTAAGTGCTAAGCATCAAAACTTATTAAGTCAAAACATACACAAGGAAATTACTAAAACCAGACCTGTCTCCCAATCCCCTCTAACAGCTGCATCAGAGCCATCTACATCACCCTCCCAAGGTGACTACCTGGGTGAGCAAAACTTTTTGATCCTCTTGTAATGTGACTGCAACTTAGCAAACTAAATAAGATAACAGAAGTTTAGTTACAGACAGAGTTGTCTTTCCCTTCCATAACACAGCTACATCTCCAAGTATTTCTAAGCAGTGCAGAGACATGCCAGGGAATGCAAAAAATTGTTAAAGGCAGAGGGATAGCCTATGGTAAAGTACCACACTGATTACTTTAAGGATTTCCCTAGATCTAAGCAAACAAAATCTCCCAAAGCAGTACAGACAACATTTTCCTTTCAAACCCAGGGATGAATTTAAGGTTCTATTTCTGTATTTGTGTGAAATTCAGGTATTCTTCTCAAAAGAGGAGCAGATTCTCTACAACAAAACTTAAGGAAGACTCTTGCTTTAGGTAACAATAAACAGAAGTCAGCAGGTGACAGAAGGCAACCTGAAGAATCACTGTCCCTTCAGCATTGCAGCAATACTAGAAATGGCAAGTGTAAATCATTCCAAGCACCTACAGAAAATACAACACAAACCAGAAGATGCTATAGGGAGTACAGTGATTCCAGGCAAGGTCCCATTTGCAGTTCTGGGCACTTAACATGGATATCTTTTTACAACAGCTTTTTGCATTTCTGTCTTCCACATGCAGTTCTTCCCCCAGTTTGATACTGACAGTATCAGTATGTTAAAATATCACGCTTGCTGCAACTCATATTCTTATAGAGAGTATAGTCATTTCAGGACGTAAGGCAGGAAAAAAAATATTGAACTTAAAGCAGACCAGTGAGAGGCAGCCTGAACTAGCAGATTTGAGGTCCTATTTCTACTTCTGCTTTAGTCCTTTTGTGTGATGCTGAGCAAATAATTTCATCTTTGTCAGTCCATCTTCTCTGTTGCCCTTTGTCAGCTTGTCTATTTAAATTGTAAGCTAAGAGGCAGGGATTTTCTGCTTAGGCATCGCTACAGTGCTAAGCACACTGGACCCTTGATCTCAGTTGGAGTTTCTAGGCATTACAACAATGCCGTGAAAAAAGTGAATCCATCAAAGGTTGGTAGAATGTGTTACTGGATGTCAGCACTTGAACAGATCTAAGTGCTCCACAAGCATCTTGCATAAAACAGTTCAGCATAAAACCGTGCTGTTCAGGTGAACTTGGGTTCTCCTCATTTAGCTTCACCGTAACAATCTTTAAACAGTATGGCTTTAAGATCATAAATAGTCCAGATACAGAAATAGGAGCATTAACTCCTGTTGGTCACTGCATGGATGTTACTTGATCCTTTTAAATTTCCAGACCCTTGCAGATTTTCTGAGGATTCCCCGTTGGTTCACTTTGCTACTGTGCTTTCTCTAAGACATGCTTTCACTAACTGCTTTCACAGCAGCCATGCCAGCTTACAGAGCATCCTGCCTTCCTACACACTCTTTACTGGGCAAAGGGCAGGGAAAGCTGGTACCCACCAGGCATAAAATGTACACTTACCGCAATATTCCTTACAAACAGCAGAACAAATGGTATTTGGTGCCTGTTTGCAGTTACGTAAGATGAAGGGCAGGTTTTACAACATTAACCTTGTCACACCAAAAATCTGGATCTTTACTCTTTCAGCTGAGTTCTCCTTTCAGCTATGCTATTCAGCTTTACTGGGAAAGAAAACAGTGTGCATGCAGCAGAGAGACAAGGTAGAAAATTAACAAATATTGCAGAGCATTGCAAGTGAATGTTGCTAAAATCTCCTGCATCCCATAAGTTCTCCACAAGTTACTATTTATATACAATGTTACACTGGGCCTAAAAAACATTGTAATTTTGTATCCCCTAATCACAAACTGAAGTGCTCAGAAAAAAAAAAAAAAGAATAACAAAGAGCTTAGAGAAGAACTAATTTTAAAATACTTACAGTTACATACTTAACTATAAATAGCACTTTGCGCATTAACAAATTCTGATTATAAAGAAGAATCTGACAGGCCCTGCTAGAACTGGAAACACATGCATCCTCTCACACCAGTAGGAAGGGAAATTCCCCTTTTGGAAAAAAGGGAACACACAGTTTGAAGTGCTGCCCAGCAACAACAAAAAAAAAAACCAAGAAAACCCCAAAACCCAAGGGTAGGTCTGTAACACTAACTACAGGGAGACCAGACCCTGGCAAGGTCAGAGAAAGGACATTCAGCATAAAGTGGCCTTAGTCCTCACCCAGGTGTCTGCCCCAGCCCATTCCTTAACCCCTCCCTCACCTTGCAGTGGATGGCAATTCCAGATTACGGGCAGAAAGGGGGAAGAAAGCAAGTCAATATGACATGAAACTATCTAAAGTAAATTTTAAAATGGCAGCTGCACAACGTTGCTCATAAATTTAGAATCTTAAAAAAAAAAAATACCTGGGACCTACAGTGGTGGCCACAAGATATGTGGTATGTTACGTGGCTCTGCAATTCGTCACCCAGTATCTTCTAGCCTCACTTTCTGGATTTGAAAGCAGAAAACCATCATGTTCCTTGGGGATAAAACCTGGGCCTTCCTTGTTGCTACTCCATCAGCCTGGATCCAAATTCTGCCTGAAGAAAGTGAGTGCAGCACTACCAAAGGTTTGGTGAGCAGGGACAATTTACGATTCAAGGCAGTTTAAATCATTCATTATTTAAGATAATGGAAAAGTTCTCAAGTGCCAAGCTGATGAAATATCTACCAATTAGCAGAATTAGTACTTGGAATAGAAGCAGCAGTGCAAAATGAAAACCAGAAATGCTTCAAATAGATTTTGGAATGGAATTTGCTAGAGGAGAGGGTCATATCATGGACATTTATCAAAATAACTCCAGTGTGGACAAACCTATATTGGAATAAAAACCCTCATGTTTCCTTCCAATCCTCCCCTCCTGATTTAAGCTTCGCC